TTCCGTATTATCGAGGACGCGACGATAACTTTGAGGGAGCAGCGAGAGAGACGAAACGATTTTGACGAATGACTCGCGCCAACTGAATATGATCGGCGTCGTTGCGTGCAGACCCCACCGGACTTTTTTTCACGATCTCTCTACTGGAGTTCTTGTCTGAATACCGTAGCATCCATTCTCCGTCGAGGATGCTGTAGCTCTTTCAAAAGATTGTAGAATAAATGAAAAATTCTCGGTTTTCTTTTTAATTTTAATATGATTTTGATGATCTTTATTTAATTTAATTTAATTTAATTTAATATAATGATTTTATTTGAATTAAAAGACTCGTCGCTTTTTTATCGCGACTGTTTTGTTACGCAAGAACAAGCGATTTTGTTACGTTTTGACTTAAGATATCGTTTTAGTATATTAGACCAAAGACACAAGTCAAATAGATAAAATGATTAGGCATGCTTAATCGAAAAGTCGCATATAATGTCTCTTTCACAAAATGTTCATTTATAATGATATTTCGTCGTAATTTGCCGTTTGAGCACAAGTGATACAAATACAAATGACGATGCATTTATTTGTTACGGGAATTCTATTTAAATGTTGTACATAGATACGAGAGAAAACTTAATATATTTTTTCAACTTAAATATATATTTTGTGTAAAATAAATCTTTTATATCTTAAGAATTAACTCACTGTTATCATCTTTATTTTATCAGTTTTCTTATCATCGCAGTTTCGCTTAATTATCCATTGATTTATCGGTATTGATCATCGGCTTATAAGAACAAAGCAATTTTTATTTTTTGAATGATAGATCTTGCGCAAATAATGTTCTTTATTGAGATATTGATCTGTTAAGTAGAAGGAGGGAGATTTTCATTTTTACTTTATATTTTTTATGTGACATAAATAAAAGTAGTTATATTTATATTTTTATTTCTCAAATTGCTTTAACTATTAATTTTCTTCTAATATAAATATTGTTATTTTAATTTTTATTCAGGCAATTTATCAGGCAATTTACCAGGCAATAGACCACTCTATTCTAATATGCTCACTTAAATAAGATATTTAAATTTATATATGAATATCCTGTGAGACTCTTATGTAATTATTCTCTTTAGGCTTGACATTTGTTAGATTTGAATCGTCACTTCTACCTTTGTTAGAGATTCAATCAATGTTATATTGTTAACAATAAATAATTACTTGTGAGTCCAACGTTCCATTCGCTTGCGTCCGAATGAGATTTTAATATCTTCCACAATCTTGGTGACATAATCGAGATAAAAATAAATAGTATCAATTTTGCGCTCATTGACGTGGTCAAAATATAATATAAAACCCAAATATAGAACTCTTTACTTTTCTGTCAGCGAGCCAGAGTGCCGGCCAAGTTGCTCGACAATTTCCTTGGCATCCTATTCTTCCATATATTATATATTTTTCTTTACTGTTACATAATTTTTTTTCTAATATTAATTTTTTTCTCGTCGTTCTTTTTACGTTTTTTTAAATACTTTTTCTTCAAAAATGTTCACCTGCTCCACAGTGGCGTCCACAAGAATCGGGTTTCCCTCGATATATGTTACCTCTCCTCTAGCGTCAAAGTTGACGGAGAAGTTACCCAGGTACTTGGTGTAGGCATACGCCTGAACAACATAAGCCTTTCTGCCGCTCTTCTGCGTCACCTCTGTAGGATAGAAACCTTCCGGTGCCTCAACATCCGGCGGTTTGCCGTGATACAGAAAGGTGTTAGTGTGACCGCCGATCACCAGATCGATATCCTCGACTTCCTGGGCGATCTTCTTATCGATCTCGTAGCCCGAATGACCCAGAGCGATGAGAATGTCGACACCCTGCTCTTTCAGCCTTTTAGCTTCACGCTGGATGGACTCCACCTCGTCCTTGAAAATCACATTTTCCGTAGACGACAGGATCTTCGTCTCCTTTGTGAGATAACCAATCACGCCGATCTTGTTGCCGTTGACTTCGAGAATCGTGCTGTTTTTCAGATTGGTGGCGGCCAGGTCCGGTTGTTCGGCAAGATCCAGATTCGCCGCCAGAATAGGATATGAGGCGTTTTGTATAAAGGGTATTAGACCTTTGACGCCGTCGTCGAATTCGTGGTTGCCCAAGGACTGCCAGAATTCAATCACATGTAATGTATACGACCACACACAAATCGATGTTATTTAGATATTGCAATTTGCACGACTATTTTATCCATATCTATAAATAAAGATGTAAAAAAACCGTTTTCTTTTTATTAAAACGTTGAAAAAAATGTGTTCTTTTCATTATTTTTGAAATATATATAATATTATCTCTTTCTTTATATTTTTTTAAATATTATAATAAAAAAAAACAAGTTCTTATGTTTTTACGTAATTTATTTTTCTTTGTAAGTAATTTTAATGAGACTTTTGCGGCAAATTATATCAAACACGACATGAAATAATTTTCAGTTAATGCATAATAAAAAAAAAAGTTATGCATTTAAAAATTATCCAAATTATGTTATGTTTGGTATTATTTTAACTGCAAAAATCTCATTAATCCATTAAAACCGTTTTCAAAAAGATAAAATAAAAAATAAAAAGATTAGTTTTTAGTTTATAAAATGTTTACATTTGTGAATTGCGAATGGATGAAGCCGATTGTAAGAGATTTCGGTACTCTTTAATGATAGTAAAGATGTTAAAAATATATACATGAGAAAAAAAAAACAAAATTAAAAAAAATGACTTGTTTTTTTTCACAAAAAACTACTTCTCATGAAAAAAAAATTTAGTTTTTTTTCTATTTACATCTTTACCTATAGACGCTATTTGCATATATTTATATATAACTCATCTATATACATAGAATGAGTTGTGCAGTTTTTGCAGATCAATAAACAAACTGAGAAATTCATATTTTTCGAAAGTGAAACGCAGTTGATATTTACTATTGCGTCTGGCTGTAAGAGATTCATGAACCAAGCCACCGCTTCCCACTTGTATACGTTGTACCAGGCGGTCCCTTGATAAGTGTCGCCGGCATTTAGAAAGATCGTCGACGACGATTTCGATTTCGCTTGGCGGACTAAAGTCGCGATTCTGGCAAAACCTCCGTAACACTTCCTGGCAGCGGAGTCCTGCGGCGTACACGTTGTCGATAATTGCGACGTCTCTTCGAATCTAAGAATGTTCCGCAGCAAAGTCTTAATTTCAGACGGTGCAGACTACGATTTAAATACATAAATTACGACTTTGGAAGAACGAAGAAATTCTCTCCTCAAATTACGTTCGTGTGTAAAAACACACGCGCGGATATTTAATTAGCATATGGGTGCGGGATATAATTAACTGCCTTACCTTAACATTTTAGCGTAGTGGCGGTAATTATTGGTAGCGTGACGCAAAATTACACAAAATTGTAATGTATGTGTGTGAGATGTATAAAGTAAAGATATTATATGAGTCTTTTATAGAAGTCAAACTGATTATAACTCCGCTAATAAATCATGTGTTCTAATATCGAAATTAAAAAACATATGTTAGAAGTATGAAGAGTAAATATTATATAAATCTCTTATATAGAGATCAATTTGATCAACTCTGTTAATATATCACGTGTTCTAATATCAAAATTAAGAAATTTATTAAAAAAGTGGAGTTGATCGGTTTGACTTCTCAGAAACTCATATATATACGTAAATAATGTTTAATTTGTTTAAATAATATAGAATTAATTTTTTGCAACACAATCACAAGTTTGCATTATAAAAAAGTGGAATTGATCGGTTTGGCTTATAAGAGACTCATTTATGCCTAAATAATGTTTATTTTATTTAAATAATATAGAATTAATTTCTTGTAATACAATCAGTTTTGCATTATCAAGTTTTTAATATAAAAAAAGAAAGAGAGAGATAGGGATATTTTAAATAATATTTTTTTCTAAGAGAAAAGAATGACCTACCTCGCATGCATGTCATTCGTGTGAACGATTCCGATAGTAAATTCTTCATCCTTTCGTAAAGTGGGGTTTGCATAAGTTTCGCTTGCGAGTATCAGCAACGCGATAATGCAACAGTTTATGAGCAAAGCAATCGACATCTTTGATTATCACTAATTCTACGTCTTGTTTTGACTTTTGATTGTGCTTCTTTACAATCTCTTCTTTGTGTCTCGCTTATCTTCTTATTTTTAGTGCCGATAAGGCGCGTTCTGGTTGCATATGGCCAATTATAATGTCGCCTCGGTTTTTCTCATATTAGTCAAATCATTCTACTGCATTTCCCGACATGAAATGTCTCTCTGAAAGAACACTACATTTTTATTTGAGATTTAATTTACATTATAATACAATTTTTTAAAATATTTTTAGTATCTAATAATTGTGCACGAATATACAGTGTTTCCTAAATAAGTACACAAACTTGAAGGGGATATTCCTTGGCTTATTTTAAGAAGAAAATATCCTATAAACATGTGTCCTAAACTGCTTCGTTTTCAAAATACAGGGTATCAAAGTTATGCAAAGAAAATGAAAATTTCGAAAATGAGGAAAATGTTTAAAGATATTTTATTCAAATTTGGTATGCGTTAAAAGACTCGTCGCTTTTTTATCGCGACTGTTTTGTTACGCAAGAACAAGCGATTTTGTTACGTTTTGACTTAAGATATCGTTTTAGTATATTAGACCAAAGACACAAGTCAAATAGATAAAATGATTAGGCATGCTTAATCGAAAAGTCGCATATAATGTCTCTTTCACAAAATGTTCATTTATAATGATATTTCGTCGTAATTTGCCGTTTGAGCACAAGTGATACAAATACAAATGACGATGCATTTATTTGTTACGGGAATTCTATTTAAATGTTGTACATAGATACGAGAGAAAACTTAATATATTTTTTCAACTTAAATATATATTTTGTGTAAAATAAATCTTTTATATCTTAAGAATTAACTCACTGTTATCATCTTTATTTTATCAGTTTTCTTATCATCGCAGTTTCGCTTAATTATCCATTGATTTATCGGTATTGATCATCGGCTTATAAGAACAAAGCAATTTTTATTTTTTGAATGATAGATCTTGCGCAAATAATGTTCTTTATTGAGATATTGATCTGTTAAGTAGAAGGAGGGAGATTTTCATTTTTACTTTATATTTTTTATGTGACATAAATAAAAGTAGTTATATTTATATTTTTATTTCTCAAATTGCTTTAACTATTAATTTTCTTCTAATATAAATATTGTTATTTTAATTTTTATTCAGGCAATTTATCAGGCAATTTACCAGGCAATAGACCACTCTATTCTAATATGCTCACTTAAATAAGATATTTAAATTTATATATGAATATCCTGTGAGACTCTTATGTAATTATTCTCTTTAGGCTTGACATTTGTTAGATTTGAATCGTCACTTCTACCTTTGTTAGAGATTCAATCAATGTTATATTGTTAACAATAAATAATTACTTGTGAGTCCAACGTTCCATTCGCTTGCGTCCGAATGAGATTTTAATATCTTCCACAATCTTGGTGACATAATCGAGATAAAAATAAATAGTATCAATTTTGCGCTCATTGACGTGGTCAAAATATAATATAAAACCCAAATATAGAACTCTTTACTTTTCTGTCAGCGAGCCAGAGTGCCGGCCAAGTTGCTCGACAATTTCCTTGGCATCCTATTCTTCCGCCCGCTATTCGTCTTCCCATCCGATATTACGTGCCTCCTATTTGTAAGAAATAAATGATCGTGCATCATAAATTGACATGACACGAAGCAATTTATTTACTGGCAAAGACCTTAAACTGTTTTTGTCGCGCATTACGATCGTGTTTGCCATAATACAGAGAGCGATTCTAATTCTGTATAGTCAGAACACAAGTATCGTACGAACGCAAACACAGATGCGATATTTTTCTTTACAAGTAGATACTAATGCGCGATATTTTATTATCGACATTGATCTGGAAATGGCTTAATGGCTCAGCGTATATTAATTAATTCGACATGAAGATATTGTGCGCAAAAGATTTTTTTTTCTTTTTTTTTTCCCTGAAACGCAACTATGCGAGAGAACTTTCATCTCGTTGCCAGTGCACGAGTTTTCCGATCGCGCATAAATTTGTGTAGATAATTAAACTAGTCGCAATGCGTTCAGACCAGTTTGTTGAGCGGAATCATTTTTGTATTTTTTTAACCATATGCGATGTTATGCAAAGCAGTGCGGATGAGATCTTGTTTCGTAGATTTAATTCTCTAGATTTATATTCTACATCTTTTGATCTCTATTTATTCGTTATGAATTACGAGATTAATATTATGCAACATCTTTTTTCTATTGGAAAAAAATTATTATTTATTGATACCGAAGAAAATTTACTTCCCGCAATAAAATTATCTGGCAGATAATTGATTACTTGAATTCTTGATACATGAATACATGACAGAATTTTTAATTTAATTTAATTTTTATTTTTTACTATTTTAATTTTAATTTAATTTAATTTTTTCAATTTTTATTTTAATTTAAATTCTGATCCCCATAATGAAAAAATCACATTAATTGTGTTTAAGAACAATATGTTGGTATTCTAAAAAATTTGATAGCTACAATATAATTTAAAATTATCACGTGTCATGATAATTGTGAGATGTGATAAATACGTATCAAAGATGTAAAAATTGCATATCTCAAATTTGACGCTTTACACACTTGAATAGAGCTGATAATAGCGATAAGAGTTTTATACATTTTACAATAGTAGCAACATAAGCAGCATAAGTCTATTGTGCAAATGCATCATTTACTTTTGTAAAATGTTTATGTGTGATGTCACAGAAAGATATATGTATCAGCTTATATATATATATGTATATAAGCTGATACATACATACATATATCGTAGCCAGATTACATAATCCGTTATTTTATAAAACGTCTCGACATTTTATAAAATGCGGCCACATTTTCAAATTATAGTTGCAAATGAAATATTTCATAATCTAAGAATTTTAGTCTTTTTATAAAACGCTAACAAGCGATCCGTCACATTGTCAAACGTAACGATTTGTACATTGTCTTAGATTTTAGCTTCTGATTGGTTCACTTCAGTCATTTTATGAACTGTCTTTGTAGAACAGCCATGTATAGAAAATTAATCGCTTTTTGTGGTTTTGTCTATCACGTAGTCAAAATATCAATGTAATTTGATTGTAATAAAACATATGCGCTCAAATTGCCGCGCTGGCTCTTGATTGCCTTTTATCTCCTTCGTATGACATAAAAAATTAATATGGAATTATGTTATAATGTTAATAAGGAATTATGTGTATTTTTAAATGAGAGAAAGCTTGTATAAATATTTGTTGTTATTTATTACTTATTGTATTTATTACAATTAAGATTTTATAAAAGTAACATAAATAAAATTCTTGAAAATAATGTTTGAAAAAAAAAAAAAAATATATATATATATATATAAACGTAAAAAAAAACACATTTATTATGACTATTTTTATCAAATGTAACATAAAGTAAGATCGATAAAAATGCGCCGTTCATAAAATGATTGAAATGAACCAGCCAGAATCTAAAATAATGTACAAATCGTTGCGTTTGACAATGTGGTGGGTCACTTAGCGTTTTATAGAAAGACCAAACTTTTTAAATTGTAAAATATTTCATTTTCAACCATGATTTGAGAATGTATATAGCCGCACTTTATAAAATGCCTAGACATTTTATAAAACGACGGATTATGTAATCAGTGTGTGTGTGTGTGTGTGTATTAACATAAAAAAAATATTTTATTTAAAAATAGAGAATATCAAAAGATGACACAATGATTTGCCATCAAGATTCGCTCTGAAATGTTCCGTAATCATTCGCGTATTAGGTAGGGGATCCGATAAACAACGTTCTTTCACGAAAGGAACAAAGACACACGCGGTCGTCGGAGAAATACAGTTCTCTGCGAATATTCGACACGCGAGTTACTTACTAAAAGATAAAAAGGTAAGATTGCACGTTCAAAGTGTATTATAATTAAGGCGCGTTTACGTATCGTTATCTATGTCACTTCGTAACTTCCAGAACTTTATTTGCATATCATAGTTTCACTTATTTGCTATGTTACACTGTTTACATTCCGTTTTATTTCGTTCTTAATTTTTTTATTACTTGACCGCAATTTCACGTTTTTCACGCAGTGTGATTATTTTATCATATCGGCTTCTCGCTACTAAACTCGTAACATTTGTTTTCGCTCGCCTTATAATTAGTGGGAGAGGAAGCAACGTAGTCGGATTGAAGCGGATTTTTTTATGTCACACAGTAATTATCGTACGAGTGTACAAATGAGCAAACTTCGCATTCTCAATCGATGAGATATCAGAAAGAAGCTTGCGAAATCTATAGTAGATATTACTAGATAGCGATATCTAATTTAAAAAAAATACAAGTTATCGATATAATAAAAAATTAAATATATATTATTATACATTACAGAAATCTTTTCGTTGGAATTAAAAAATAAAAAAATTTATTTTTAAAAATTATTTGTTGTATATAGGAACGCATAAATATATATAATTTTATTTTAATTTTCTGTAAAAAAATAAGTTTACATAACTTTGATTCCTTTCTGTTGTTTCTCTGTATAATTTATTAAATCATTATATAATAATTACACATAATTACATACGCTTATAAAAAACAAATTATAAATAAATCTCTCGAAAGATTTATTACGTTATTTTTATTTCTAAATATATAATTTATTTGTCATTATTTGTCGCTTTAAAAACTAATATATCACTGCATCGATAACGATTATCTTGTCTGAAACAAGATTATCATCGTTTTTTACTTTTGCGCGTTGCATAATTGCTCATATCATCTACCTTCTCAATGATTGCACACGTACAATGAGTTATTTAAAAAAAAAATACAATAATCATTTTCTTCTTGAGACAATGAATAGAATGAGTTCGTGAAATGTGTGCTGTGGCTTGAAAAAAGTTTTAGTAAACACAGAGTATACTTTTAAGATATTTAAAAAGATGCGACACGATCTTTTCTCGAGAGCTATTAAATTTAAATACGCTATAAAAAGATATAAAAAATTATTGTACAATTCGATGCCTCGTTTCAATCTCATCTGTACACGGTTATATATACGCGGTAAACCCGCAATCAGCGCCTTAATGATATCTTTTCCAACAGGTGCAGCATGTACGCGCTGCCATTGCTCTCGTTGTTGTTCCAAGTCTGTTATGGATTCACCGGGCGTGGATTCTTTTATCCCGGTAGAACAGACCTCTTCGAGCTGTCAATAATTCATTTGAATGATTTTCACGCCAGGTGAAAGTTCTTTCAACAGTCCTATTTATAATTTTTTTATCTAATAGTCATGTTCCATTCGCGCGTGGCATGATTAATCTGTCTCTTATATAAATTTGCAGTCAAGCGTTGGATACATTTATTAACTGACAATTTAAGAAACGATTATTTTGTTCGTTACAAAACTTTAACATTATGACATGATATCGATCAGTGCCGCTTTGAAAACTATTATAAGTTTGGACTCGAGACGAATTTGTTGAGAGTCAAGGATAAAGCAATTATAATAATGTCGACGTCAACCTTGGTCCCCTTCCTTTGACTCTTGCGGGTCTTTTGATCATTTTGTTATTTGTCGGAGCGTCAAAGCGTGACATTTTGAGAAAACAGGAATTATGTCGACATAGATTCGAACAAACGGGCCCAACTTCTGGGACTTGCCGCGAAGGCCACGAGCAAGACTGCGTGGGAGGTATTGCCAGAGTTTACACGGCAGTCGATCAACTTGTTAAGGAACGGCCGAATGCAATTTTTCTGAATGCCGGCGATCATTTTCAGGGGACTCTCTGGTACAATATTCATCGCTGGAATGTCACCGCCTTGTTCATGAACATGTTGCCTCATGATGTCATGGTATAATCAAATATATCCGCGTGCGTTTAATTATATTTTTTCTTGTACATTTGTTTAGAACAACAATTCATCATGTTTATAAAAGAAAATAATAATTAAGACAATATAAACAAAACAGCCATCTAAAGTCAAATCTATAGTTAACTACTATTCAGAGAACAACAAAAATATAAATATTTTTTACGATGATTAAATCGGATAATTAGTTACCTTTAATTTTTTATAATATAGACGATTGGCAACCATGAATTCGATAATAAGGTCGAAGGCCTTGTTCCCTTTCTTAAAAATGTCAAGGCACCAGTTGTGGTAACGAATATCGATGACAGCGAGGAGCCAACTATACAGGTTTATAATATCTATTCATTCATTTAAAGAAGCATTTATTAACATACTTACAAATTTTTAGAATTTATACAGAAACAGCTCAATCATTGATAGAAATGGTACCAAGATTGGCGTTATTGGCGTCATCCTGTCAACTACGAATGTGAGTAATCGATTATATTGTTTTCTCATAGAGGAAGCTTTGTTTTCGTGACAAAATTTTTTTTCCAGTTTTCTATGCCAATGTGTTTTTAGAATGTTTCAAAACGTCGAAAAATCATATTTTTGAAAAATGTTTGTATATATGTATGTATGTACGGAATGTACATTGTACAACCTCTAACTTCCGCAATTTTTGAGATACCGGGCTAATTTTTTAAAAATAGATAGGGTATCATTAAAGGATGGTTGGTATTGATTTTGATGAGAATCCGTGAAAGGGTTCATTTTTTTATCAAATTTTGAATTTTTTGGGAAATGTCTGTACATGCTCTAACTTTCGCAAATTTTGAGATATCGGGTTAAATCTTTTCACATGTATAGAGTATTATTAAAGAATGGTTGGTATTGAATTTAATGAGGATTGGTGAAAGCTTTCTCTATGAGGAAGCCAAAATTGAAAAAACCGCTTGCTTTAAGGTGCTTAAACTTTGTGAACGAAATAAAATAATGAGGAAGCAATGTGCAAGTTTCTAATTTGCACAATTTTCATTTTGTTTTTCTCTATAAAAGCGATTAAAAGCATATTTTATTAAATTTAATATATAAGATATACTTACAAAATACAGAACATCGATTTTCTCAAAGTATATTGGATTCTTTCAGCTACTCGCGGATACGGGGAAATTAAAGTTCTTGGACGAAGTGGAAACGGTCAACGACGAAGCCCAGCGATTGAAAGAAAAGGGAGTGGACATTATTATAGTATTAAGCCACTGTGGATTGGATGTAGACAGAATTATGGCCGTGAAATGTCCCTTGATCGATGTGATCGTCGGCGGCCACTCGCACACGTTCCTTTATACAGGTCTAAAAATAAAGTCTTTTATATCGATCAAATATAAATTGAGTTTATATAAACTTTTCATTGTGAAAACGTGAATATTTGCAAGAATTAGAATATTTATTATATGAAAACAAAAAGTTATTTTGCGTATTATAATTTTTCTTCTCCTTTCTTCTCACTTGCAATATAAGAATGAGAGAAACTTTTATCGATATAATATTCTTAAACACATAGCATTAATTATTATATAAACAGGACCTCCGCCTTTTATCGATACACCGGTGGACGAATATCCTGTAGTCGTGACGCAAAATGAGACAAACAGAACGGTTCTCATCGTACAAGCAGCTGCTTTTACAAAGTATGCCATTCATTCATGAGAATATGTCAAGAGTACCGTTAAAAAAAGTCAATTCCTATCTGATGTCACGAGGTCGGCTCTGATTAATTTATTTTATCATTTAACGGATAGATTTACTTTAAATCTGCTAAAGAGAGGGGGGAGGGGTTGCATTTAACATTCGATATCGCATATACACGTGTACGTGAGATAATTTCATTAATTTTTATTTTATCTAATTTTTTTAAAGATACTTGGGTAATTTGACGGTATGGTTCGATGACCAAGGCGAGGTCGTTGACTGGGATGGAAACCCCCTCCTTTTAGACCAGTCTATCGAAGAAAGTAAGCCGTTGACATATCGACATTTGAAATAATATCTCAAATAATGTTAATACATGTATTTTTAGATTCAGAAATCCTCGAAGCTCTAAAACCGTGGAAGAAGGAAGTGGACGCAGAAGCGTCGAAAAAGATTGGCAGCACAAAAGTTTTACTCAGTCACAGCTGTTATGCTAAGGAATGCAACATGGGAAATCTTATAACCGACGCTATGGTAGACGCGGTACGTGTATAAAATGTTTTTTAATTAAAATTATTAAATTAATTATATTACAAATTGTATATAAAAATTTTAGTTTGTCGATAACGCCGAATATAAAACTCATTGGACGTATGCAGCGGTGGCTTGCATGAATCCAGGAGGAATTCGCACTTCCATCGAGGAGTCCGAAATCACTTATGGCGATCTGATGATGGTCCAGCCTTTCGAAAACAATTGGGATATTCTTGAACTGAGTGGAGAATCCATTAAAAAAGTCAGTTAAATTTTTTGCTTATATAATTTTTGGTGCTTTATAAAAAAATTGATAGATTTATTGAGATATAATCTAAATATTAATCTAATTTAAGATAAATTATAACAAGAAAAACTACGTCAAGCGTGGAAAATAGCGCCGTAAAGATCAACACATGAACGTAAACGTGCATTAATGGTGGCCTATCTTCGGGGACGTGAAAATTGAATAGTGACCAGAGCGTGAATTAAATTTATATTTTTTTCGTAGGTTCTGGAAATGAAAGAAATCCTAGCTTGGTCCGGATTAAAAATTACTTACAAAGAGGTCAACAAAAAGCGAACTGTGGTCGATGTTAAAATCAGGTAAAATGTCGTATCGACAGAATTTTCATTCGTTTTGCAACAAGATTGAAGCATAAATTGAATCTAATCCTCATATTTTACATTATATATCGATGTATCGAAAATTAATAGCGGTTTTAATTTTGTTTAACGTACCGACAGGTGCCAGGCTTGCGAATATCCGGTATACGAGGATTTGATGCACGATCAATGGTACAGACTGGTTGTGTCAAGTTTCATGATCTCCGGCGGAGACGGCTATTACATTTTCAAGAATAATAGTCGTAATCACCAAATCGGCGGGCGCGATATGGATTATCTTATACCCTATGTGAAGAAAATGAGCCCAATATTGATGGGAATCGAGAGGCGAATAACTTTTGTAGAGACTTAAAAATCGTCTTGAGATTATATTTTGCGATAGTACAATTGCGTTTGGAAAGATTGCATTTAGTAATAAAATATTCCGTTTAGAAAAGATATTTATTTTTGATAATTGATTAGAGAAATGAAATTTTACGTAGTATAAAATTATTATTTTATGTTAATAATAGATCAAAATATTTATTATTTTCAGAAGAATTAAAAACACACACATACACAAAATATTTTTATATATTTTAAAATAAAATATAATAAATAATAGCGTGTGGGTGCACTATTCTATATCTTTTCTCGACACACGAAGTCTCTCTTAATATTCTTCTCGAACAATTTTTAAAAAGTTTAACAGATAAATACCCCATATACATAATAAAGCTTGGTGCAGTTCGCGTGATAGCTGTAAGAAAACAGGAAACGTCGGTTGCTTATCTTGCGGTATCTCGGGAGATCGGGACAGATGAAGCATTTAAATAATGTATTGAACAGGTGAAATAGCAGCTGTTCGTTCATGTTCCTGCCCTCGACCAGAACGCGCGAATCGCTTTGTAGCACCGGCAAGGAACGCTGGTTTTTAGCGGCGAAAGGAAGAAAAAAAAAGCTCTGTAAAAAACCGATTAAAATAAACTCGAGCATATGCATCTCCGTTATTTTATATATTCAATTATTTTGTATATCTATCATATTTTTGTAATATTTTAATCCTTTACGATACAACGCAAATACATATGTATATAGCATATAATTATTGTTATATATTACATTTATACTAAAATATATATATT